CTACATGCTCTTAACTGCTCACTCGTCTGTCTAGTCCTTATTTTTTGAGACAGCATCTCTCACTGAATCTGAAGCACAGTGACTAATAGACCAGTGAGCTGTAGGAACCCTCTTGTTCCTTCTCTTCAGGGCTAGGGTTACAGGTGTGAGAACCATGTCTGGTGGTTTTTTTTTTTTTTAATTGTTTTTTAAGACAGAGTCTCACTGTGTAGCCAGACTATTTGGCACTTTACTTTTTTAAAATATTATTTATTTATTTATGGGCATTGGTATTTTGCTTGCATGTCTGTGTGAGGGTATCAGATCCCTTGTAACTAAAGTAACTAAAGTGAGGTAACGTGGTTGCTGGGAATTGAACCCTGGTCCTCTGGAAGAGCAGCCAGTGCTTTAACCACTGGGCCATCTCTCCAGCCCCCTATTTGGCACTTTATGAGGTTGGGACATCTAAATGCAAGTCTTCCTCCTTGAGCACAACTGAGCCAACTCCCCAGTCCATCTGTGTTTAATTTTAGTTGTGAAGCTTTTCTGCAGTTATAAAAACTTAATAGTCCAGGTCATTCAGCTACATGGTGAGACCCTATCTCAAACAAACAAACAAACAAACAAACAAACACAATAATAAAAATATCACACTCTGTAAGTATTATAGGAAGACCTTTATAACAACATAACCTTCTATAAGTACTATTGGGGGGCTTATAACTTCTTTTTGAGAAGCCCCATCCCTAGGGGTGACTTCAGATGACAATGGGACAACATGGGTCATGATTGCTGAGGATCCTGCAAGCCTCCATTGTGAGCTTGGGTCTCCTAGGTAGGCACTTGGAGCTCTGCTGGTCATGGGGTACAGCCCCAATGTTTGTCCACATTGTTCACAGAAGCTGTACCTCCTGTGCAGGAGAGGCTGGAGTGTCAGATGCAGGGGACAGATCTGTCAGCTAGCCTAACTTTACCACCTTCCTCAGAACCATCTGGTCCCCTCCACAGACCACAGGTGAACAGAGGATACAGAGTGAGTGTCACTACTTACTGGGATCAGGCCTGGAGGTCAGTGTGTGCTCTTACCAGAGCTAATACCAGTTCTGGAGGCAGCATTGAGAGATTTATTTTAAAAACAAAAAAGCTGGTGGGGTAGGGTGTGGCGATGCATACCTCTAAGGCCAGCACTAGGGAAGTAGAGGCAGGAGGATTGGGAAAAGCTCAAGGCCAGCCTCGGCTACATGAGAACCTGTTGCAAAATAAACAAATCAAAAACAACAAAACTAAAAACAAAACAACAACAACAAAACACTCAAGACAGCACACCCACCTCCAAAAGGTGGGCTCTCATATCTGTTGTCCATACTGTACCCCTTTGCCATCTTTAGCAAACAGTTCACCTTTGGGGGCCTCAGTTTCCTTGTTTAGAAAGCAAGAGAAGCAGAGTTCAGGACTACAAAAGGAGCTAATTTTAGCCAGGCCTGGGGTGAGCAACCTGAAATCCCACCACTGATTTGGTGGCGGCAGTAGGATTGCAAGTTTGAGCCTGCCCGGGCTACGTGATCAGGTTCTGCGGCTAAGAAGCTGGTTAACCTATTCAGGTCAAAGGTAAGAGAGGGCTTGCTTGCTGGTTGAGTCAGCCCAGACCTTCTCCCTCTAGGGGACATGGAAGGTAACTGCAGGGACGATATACAAGGGGCACTGAGTTTGGGGACTGGAAGAATTTACAAGTATTCCTAAAGCAGGTTCCCATGCCACTCTTTCCTCCCAGCCTGTGCAGTACCTTAGTGCCTACTGTGACAGGGTAGACAAGTGTCCCAAAGTTAGTCCTGGGTCTACTGAGACCTCCCTCAATGAGAGTCTTGGGCCAGACCTCTGGCTACAGTTGAAAGAGGTGAAATTACTTCACCTCTCTGAGCCTATTTGGCATGCAAGGATACTTCCTTGCCCTCAGGGCTGAGAATTTGAAAGGCAGTTGTGCTCTTGAGAAAATGTCCCAAGAGAGGTGCCCTGGCTCCAGTGTGAGGCTCTCTGCTCCTGTGCTGCAGGCACAGTGGCTTGTCTGAGTGCCCTGTACTCCAACCTCATCTGCCATTCCTTTTCTCTGCTTCCTGGCGGCCAGGTTTCTCCACGTCCAAGTTGGGACTTAGCTTGATGTTTCACTACACCAACAGGGACTCTCCTTGGGGTTGGCAGCCATGCAGGAGGAGCTGGGGTCGGAGGTTGGGAGATTGTTGGGGTTGTCAGCAAGACTGACACACACAAGATTTGTTTTCATCCCTCCTTACCAGTGTTTGTCCTAACAACCTGGAATGTTGGCTCACTAACTGAACTTCACTAAGTGTGGAGTTCACGTAGCTTTAGCGGAGGTAAGATCTGCTCAGAGCCCGGAGGAATCTCTTTTCTCATGTAAGACAAAGATCTCCAGTGTGTGGTGGGCCCTGCTCATCGAAAGGGTGCAGAGATGAGTTCTTCAGGGAGGCAGGGTGGTAAGTAAAGTCACATGGGGTTTGGGAGGGGCTCGGGGACTTGACATCTAGTTTAGCCCAGGGAAGAGACCATTTAATTTTCTAGAGAAAACAGCCAAGTCCAGGCTTGCCTCTTTTTTATTTTTATTTTTGTTCTTTTACTTGCTATGTAGCTCAGGTTGGCCTGGAACTTGGGACGATCCTCCCCCGACCCCACCCCAACACTGGAGATACATGTGTTCACAGCCATGCTTGGCTTTTTTTTTTTTTTTTTTTAATAGGGTCTTATCCAGCTTGGTCTTGACCTTGCCTAGTTTCCCCCTCGGCCTCTTGAATGCTAGGATTACAAGAATCCACCACCATGTCTGTCCAACATGTGTGTTAAGGCTGAGTAGGGTATAGGACAAAGGACAGGAGGGCCTGGCTAAAGGACACCTTGAACAAGGCAGGGAGATGAAAAACCATGAACATCGTTGTAGGAACTTAAGTACATGCATGGCTTTGGTGCAGGAAAGACGGTGGGGACGTGAAGGTGGTCTCACTATGTACCCCTGGATGACCTGGAACTCACCTCATAGACCAGACTGGCCTCAAACTTCCAGAGATCTGCCTGCCTCTGCCTCCCAAGTGTTGGGATTAAAGGCAGGAGCCATCATGCCTGGCCTTGAAGCACAGCACTAATGATTTGTATATTGTAAAATTTAATTTTACAAATCAGTAAATAAGGCTCAAAAAGATTCATGATCTGTGACTGTAGAATAGAGCCCCCTCTGCTCTACTCCCTACTCTCTCCCAGGGTCAAAACGGGGGTGGGGGGGAGCCTCTTGGGCACAGATGCCAGGCCATTCCTGAGATGCCTGCTTTTGCCTTCAACATTCTTTTATTACACTCTCCTATCTGAGCTGGCAGCCTTCCTGTTTCAGGCCAGCAACTTGTTGTCTCTCAGCAATTATTTTCAGGTCTCCATGTACCACAGAAAGGAAGAGGCCACCACAACGGGAGCCTGCTGGAAATTAATTTTATTTTTTTGAGATAGGGCGAGTCTCACTAGGCTTGCCTTGAACTCTGGATCTCCCTGCTTCAGTCTCCAGAGCGTTGTTGGGATTCCAGGCAGGTGTGTGCCACCACACCCACCTGCAACCCCATTTTAAGTAGCGGGAGAAAAGGATTGGTTGTTTTGTTTAAGACAGGGTCTCTCTGTGTAGACTGCTGCTCTGGCATTTGTTGTGTAGCCCAGGCTGGCCTCGAACTCACAGATAACCACTTGCCTCTGCTTCTCAAGTTCCTGGACCACCACAGGGAGGGGGCACCAAACCAGTCCCTTCGTCCTGGTCAGATTTGGTTCTGCCATTACTTAAGGGTGGTTCACGCGGGCAGTGATGGACACGTGGGTCTGACTGAGGCCTGCATGTTGGATGTTGTCCTGCCAGGTCATGTCTTATTTAGGGGTTCAGCCGAGACACAGCCGTTCCAGTTGCCCCATGAACTCTAACCAGTCTGAAGCCAAAATTGAAAGCACACATTATAATAGGCGGGTGCAGGGCCAGGGCCTCCCGTCTAAATCTTATTTCAGTGTTTTCTTTCCCTCATTTGCATGTGAAGCTGCCCCTATCTTCAAGCTCTGTGGGGAAGCTTGGTGGGTCCTGGTAAAAAACAGTTCCTTTCTATCCAGCCAAGTCACGAGGTAGCCAAGGCCCTCCTCGAGTACCCAAGCACTCCTCATTGAGTACTTGGGGTCCAGGTACTTAGACGGTGTCTCCAGGAATCTTCATCATGGGCTTAAAAAGCAACCAACCAACCAACCAAACAAACCCTCTATCTTCATAGGCTTAAAATACGAAAATCCAAAACCCCTCAACTCTAACAGGTTAGAAAACTGCGACGCCCGGATTCGGAATTGTAATCTTGAGGACGGCAGCCCAAGTCTCTCTGTTTCAGACCCCAAAGCACACACTGGCTGCTCCTGCAGCAGCCTTCAAAGGGAAACCTTTCTCTCAGATAGGTTTTGGATGCCTAAATCTTCTCTCAGACCAATTAAATAACAGCCTCTGGGGTCGATGCACACAGCGGGGTCTTTCCGAACTCCCGGGTTGATTCCTGTAAGCCCGGGTGTGTGTGTGTGGGTGCTGCCCTGTCCTCTACTTTAATGGCCAGAGACACTTAACCTCTTCCAAAATCGTGTTCAGGAAAGAAAAACCTGGGGCACGCACGGGGCGGAGGTGGGAACGCGCTAATTCCCCTTTGCACAGAGTCACAACCTGGGGAGGGGCCCTGGTGGGGGTCCCTCGCGGCTCAGGTGTGGCTTGGTTGCAGGAAGTTACCCCCTCCAGGGCCCGGAGCGCCGGGCGATTGCGCCATCCAACCCGACTTTCGTAACAGCGAGCCGGGGGCTGCCAAAAGGAGCTTCTGCACCGGTTCCTCAAATGTTTCGCTGTTGCCAGGACGGCCCGCTGCTCCGCGTCACGTGCAAGTGGGAAGTCGCGCTGACACTGAGCTGAGCCGCACTGGGGTGAGCACTCGCTCGCAGTCGGGAGCCGAGTGCGGAGCTGCTGAGCTCTGGGCTCCGGCGTTCCGTCTCCTCCAGGCCCCCGGCCCCGGCTGCGGAGCTGCCCCTCCGCCCAGCGCAGAAGGAAGCATGCTGGCCGTCGGCTGCGTGCTGCTGGCTGCCCTGCTGGCCGCGCCCGCGGTCGCGCTGGTCCTCGGGAGCTGCCGCGCGCTGGGTAAGAGGACTTGGAACGGGCAGGGGGATGTGACACTGGCTAGTTCTGTGGGCAGCGTTAGTCTCCGCGGGTACCAGAGTACCCGCCGGGGCTGACCCACCTGTGTCGACGCGGTGGTGGTTCGCGCGCCCCCTGCTGCGGCTAGCACCTTTGGCTGCCGGCTCCTGTTTGTCTGGGCAGTTGCCTAAAGTCTGAGTACAGGACTGTGTGTTTTCCCGAAACCTGACTCTGGTGTCTGGTTCCCAGTGATGTGTCTCACTCAATTGCATCCCGGGTCACTTTGAAGGAAGATACCCAGAGGGCGCGCCCTAGCGGAGTAGTAGTGCCCTCTGGAGAGACCTTTATGCCACTGGCTTCTTCTGCTTTAGCTGTGGCACCTCGCTTTGCTTTCCACAGTTCCACTGGGTGTCGTGTCGTGTCGTGTGCGATGGTAGTGACCTGATTGTGAGGATCTGACATCATGGGCTCTGAGTCACGGGTACTCCCGCCTCACATACTTTAGCCAGTACTAGCCCTGGCACGCAGAGTGCCAACACCCACCCCCACCCCAGTCCTTTGAGCCTGACAGTAAGGGATGTGGGACCTTTTAGAACTGTGCCTCCACCCCCACCCCACCCTGCCCCATCCCTTCCCGATAATTGGGTGGACCAGGCACCCGATTCTGTGCTTGCCTTCCATGCACTCTGCCTAGAGGGTCTAAGCCTCTCTGTGGGTTCTGGCTGCTGGTGTCTTCTGGAAGAACTGGGCAACTGCTTCTCTACTTGTCATTTTAGGGGCTGAGGACTTTGTGAGGGCAAGGAGAGTTAAGGAGAACTGGGGAGGTTTCCGCAATCCTGGTTGTAGAGGAGGCAGTGGCTGGAGAACACAGCGCTCTCGATCTCCGGCCTCCATCTCCTGAGTGCTGGGATTTGGGGCATTAGCCACTACCTTGCATTCTACACATTTGTTTGTTTTGTTTTTGAGTACTGTTATTTAAAGGCTGTGACACTGCCGCCGGGTTCTACATGTATTTAATCCTCTCCTGGATTTGAGAGGTCCAGAGAGGTGCGATGGGAAGCTGTCAGGCCCAGCTGTTGGATCCCCAGCCCTTCTACGTCTCAGCGTTCCCTACATCCCTGATACTTCTCATTGTTGAACTAGACCGGTGGTAGAGCTGAGGGCATTTGGGGCAAGCTGAGCATCACTCTCACCTGGTAGAATTCTGGGGCAGAGGGCACCGATGAAAGAGAAGCCACTTGGCTTCTCCTAAGTATCAGCGGGACTGAGGCCATCTCTTGTTGGGAGAGCAGGAGTGGGCCTCTCTGACTGTCTCAGCACCGCACCACCCACCCAGCACCGCACCACCATTTGCCTTTTGTTCCTAAGGAGTTGCAAGGCACTTTGGGGGAGTTCTGTTTTCCTGTGGTTCAGAAAGGACTCCCAAGGGTGGGGGTGTCTTCTGACCTGAACAGCCTTTAGAAGGCAGAACTGGAAGTCTGGGGAGGAAGTGAAAGCCCTTCCAGCTCAGAAGGAAAATGCAGAGAAGTACAAGTCCCCAGCCCATCTCCCACACCCACACTTGCACAGCCACAAACTAGAGAGTGGCAGAGAGTGACAATCAAGAAGCAAGCATCAAACAGGAAGTGTGGAGCAAATGACTGTGAGATGTTTGGCTTCAGAGAAGAGAGGCCAGCTGGAGCAGGCTCACAGGGGAAACCCATCAGTGGTATTCTTAAAGTCTGCTCTGCCAGGGCTTGCTAGGACTCCTCTGGTGTCCTTGCCACCTAGGTAAGGTCCTGGACCAGCTGGGATTGAGACTTCTGCTAGGTCAAACATTCTAGGTGCTGCTGGCTGAGGACAGCCTGGATATGGGTGGGTTCAGTTCCCCTTTCCTTCTGCAAGGCAGGAAAATACACACAGCAGCATAGAGGCCAAAGTATTTAAATCTGCACTCCACTTCTGAATTCTCTTTGGGGCAACCTCTTTCTGTCCATCAAACCCACCTGCATTCCTAGTCTCATCTTGAATTAGTGTTTTTTCTGAAGGATACTTTTTTGCCTAGTAACAGACTTTGGCTAGGAAGGATGTCATTTTTATAAAAGTGACTTTTTTTTTTTTTTTTTTTTTTTTTTGGTATTTTGAGACAGGGTTTCTTTGTACAACCCTGGCTGTCCTGGAACTCACTCTGTAGATCAGGCTAGCCCTGAATTCAGATATCCACCTGCCTTTGTCCCTGCTTCTTGGGTGTTGGGATCAAAGTCATCCCAACCAAAAAGGACAATTCTTGACCCCTGACCATTCATTGAACTTGTATGAGAGTATCAGAGAGAAAGTTCTAGACTTTTAAAAATCAAATTGTTATTTGTGACTCTTGGGCACTGCCAGGGTTGAGGACATTTGCCTAAATGGTGAAGAACTGAGTAAAAGCCCTCCCTTCCTCCCCCATCAGGCTCCCTGTTACCAGAAGCCTCTCCCCTCTTGGGCTCTCCCCCTTGTTTATTCATTGCAACACACATTTATGGATTCCCTGTAAAGCCCTTGGGGACTGTGTGAGATCAGTCATGCAGACTCCACCCTAAAAAGATCCTGACCATGGCCAAGAGCAAATCCTAAAGAGAGAGATGCTTCAGTCTCTTTGACTTGAACACTGGGTACCAACTCTCCAGGAGGCAACTAGACAGAGGAACCATCTCAGATGAGGACCTGAAGGCAGCCTGTCTGTTCTCTACCTCATCCGACCTTCATCAGACTGTGTAGGCGCGAGTGTGTGTCGGGGGCTTGCTGGGTTACATAAACAGAGTAACCTCAGAGCTCCTGGCTGTAAATACATGTTCCCTCCCTCTGCAAGCCTTTCATTTGTCCCTGCAGGCCTGAGGGTCACAAATCCAGTCACGCCATTGAATCAAGGGCTAAAGCTGTGTCAGATGAGCCATTGGTAACTATTAAAATTTATACTAATAGAACAAGTAAAATGGGCAGGTAAGAATGCTCAGTAGGTAAAGAAGAGTGCTCCCAGCATCCACGTGGTGGTTCATATTTATCTGTAACTCCAGTTCCAAGTGATCCAATGCCCTATTCTGATCTTCTGGAGGTACCAGGAATGTACATGGTGTGAATACATACACATGGGCAAAACATCATACATGTAAAATAAATCTTAAAAACAATGAAAAAAAAATGACTTGGAAGGTTGGGTGTGTTGTGGTGAATGCAGAGGCTAGGCCAGCGTGGTCTACACGGTGAGACCCTGTCTCAAAATGGCTTACAAACTTGGCCTGCAGGTTCTGCATCCTAACAACCCATATTGAAGGAACATGAGAGGAAAAAAAAAAAAAAAAAAAAACCAAAAAAACCAAAAAAACAAAACAAAAAAACTGTCCGGGATATGCACAGACTTTTTTCTCTCATTCTTTAAAGAGTATATGATGCCAACTGTTGCCCTGACATTCTGACATTTACCTTTATTTGGCAACGTGAGTGCTCAAGAGATGGTGGGAAGGTAAGAGGATGTGCCAGGCTATCCACAATGACTGCATCATTTTGACTGGGGTCGGGAGCATCCTCATGCTTTGGTACTCTAGGGGGTTCCTGAAACCAGTGGCAGTCCTGAGGGTACACGCTGCATCACGGGTGGCTGTGAGGATTAAATGGGCTAAGTAAAGTTCTAGACAGAGTGACCAGAATAGTCTCTGGTGCAGAGTGAGTGCTCAGATGTGTGTGGCTAAGGATCCATTTAGTCTTAAATCATAGCTTGAATTCCTACTGTGTTGCAGGAACCATGATAAGAAGTGAGATGTAGCAGTGAACAAAACTGGTTTACTGAAGCAGCCTTCTAGCAGAGTGACAATGGGATAAAAGTGTGGCAGTGACTAATGTGGAGGGTAGAAGTGCAGGGCGACTCTGGTGCTGTGCGGGCATGCTAGGTAGGTATAGGGTGGAATTCAGAACTGGTGCTCTAGGGAGGGAGGGTCTCCCCAAGAACCTATCTGAGTGAATATCTAAAGGAAGTAGGAAGATACTTAGAGACTGCATGCCCTCCCCCCACAGCCCCAGAAACCAAGATCTGGGGTCTTGAGTCCAGCCTTGATTTTTATTTTATTCATGTATTTATTTTGCCTGCATGTATGTCCTGTGTTCCACTTGCATGCATGCTGTTCAAAGAGGACAGAAGGGAGCACTGGAGCTTCTGGAACTGGAGTTGCAGATGGTTGTAGGAGCCACCATGTGGTCCTGGGGATAAAATCCCGGTTGCTCTGGAAGAACTGGCTCTTTTTTTTTTTTTTTTTTTTTTTTTTTTTAGGTTTTTCGAGACAAGGTTTCTCTTTGTAACAGCCTTGGCTGTCCTTGAATTCATTTTGTAGACCAGGCTAGCCTCAAACTCACAGAAATCCTCCTGCCTCTGCCTCTCAAGTGCTAGGGCTAAAGCTGTGGACTTGGGAGGAACTCTTAGCCAGCTTTGATGTTTTAGCTAACTCCAGCAGCTCTACTTGCTGTCCCTTGCCAGCTCTGCCTGGTGACTTTTAGCTACTGTGCTCCTGAGGTCCCGAATCCAGGCTGTCTCTTGTACCTGTTCTCTCCTTACCTTCTTCCAGAAAAATCATTACTTGGTCTTCCCTTTCTGTGGTGGTTACTGTGGCACTGAGTGTCAACTTCATTCAAACCTTGCGTAACAGTGCCACTTTAGATGAGTGAGGCACCAGCCAGCTCCTGCTGTTGGGTGAGTGATCACAGTCACTCTGGGGCACATAGACCCTGGGATGTCTATAGGTCAGCCAGGAAAGGATGCTGAACCAGGTCTGGTTGTACACATTTGCCATCACAGTACTCAGGAGATAGAGGCAGAAGTTCAAGGCTGGTGTAGGCTACATGGGACCCCAGGAGGTGGGTTGGGGGTGAGGTGATTGGGATCTAGAGAATGACTATGAATCCTGAGAAGGAGTCAGCAACATGGGAATGAAACCTGAACTTGAGGGTCACCTACAGGCAGATACCCTCACCCCCTTTCTTCCTGAAACATGGTC